TGACATCACTAGACAAGCCATCGCTCGAGTGGAACTCGAAAGGGAAGCGGCGAATCGGTCGTCAGTGCGAAGGTGGGGTGACTTGGAGGAGGTCATGTGAAGAGGAGATGAAAACGTGTGGATAGACTTGGAGCCAGGTGAAGACTCTAGGAGAGAGCCGAACGCAATGGAGACGCACGGCTGAAGCCGTATGTTCCTCTACGAATTGAAGGAAATAATAATAATAAATTCGTTGAGCGATAGGTCCTTGGTTGATTTCTTGTCAGTGTTCTTCTTTAGTGCATGATTATCCCTTCTCGCCATCTGAGCCTAACTGTCAACGGTAACCCATTGGAAATGCTTTAGACAATGTGTATTTTTTAAAAATATTTTTGATTATACCTTGATTCCACATTGTATTTTCGGTACAAGTATGGAATTTTCAGTATGTGATATCGGTAGCTCAAATTTTGCAGGCCGGGGATCAGACCACGAACCATATGCATGGTCGGCGAGAGTCTGAACCAATGCGCCACCGACACTCAATAAAGGAAGGACCGTCAGGCCTCCCCAATGACAAAAATTACAATCGCGAGCTCAACTGATTGGGGTCCATCACGAGTTTCAACCCATCGAGGTGCAATGGTAAGCCTCCACTCGGGGTCAGAGCATTCTTGATCACCCTGAACCCAGCGACTGAACAACTAAATGAAATCCCTGATTTGAAATTAGTGTTGTAAATTCAAATTGTTGTCCTCATGCTAAGTACTACAGATCTCCATATCGATTTTAGAGGAGTGATTTTCTGTTTTCTTTTTTGGTTTTCTGATCCTAGCTGGTTTTAACATAATCATCCATGATTCCACTAAGTGGGAATGATCCTACCGAGAAACAGGTGACTTTCTAAAGGTCTCCTCCACCGATGGATCGTGATCCAGCAGTCTAGTGGATTGGTTCATCAGTACACAATGCACCAGAGTGGTTACGCTGAGAAGAATGTTCAGTACCCCTGTGAAATTGTAATTATTCAGTCATTAGGTTTGCCATTATGTGAATTTGAACCTCGACTAGTTTACTATCCAGTCATAAGCCTCGTAAAATGGAACGACTCGGCGTATAGCTAACAATCCCACCTTGTAAAAACACAGCCCCATCACTATTGAAACTTCAAGAAAAAGATAAAACAAAAAACTGCTTATGAGGTTAGCGATACCCAGCCCTAATTATTTACAAAAAATCCTGTCAAACTACAAGGCGGTATTTCAGTTAACAGGAATGGGTAGCTGTTTCGTCAAAGTCTGGGACTCTTCGGAGGTATGTACCCATCAGGGCGTGAACCCAGTGCACCCGGTCCTCTAAATGATGTCGCTTCATGATGAAAACCTCCATTCAACCAATCAAACGAAATTTCCTACAAAACCAATACTTCAAAATTAATCTGATGCTCACTAGCGACTAGCCCTATTCAGGCAGTTAACCTGGGGTTCTAGTGGGAATCCATGAACAGTAGGGTACAGCAGGTTTAAGGGCAGGCAGTAACTCATCGAAGAAGACAATGTGAAGTGGTCGCGTTATGTCATGAATTAGCAGAAAATAGAATTCATGGTTGGTTATTGGATCGGGTCAGATGCCAGTGGCTTAATGGACTATGAGCTAGCTCGCCTTGTAACCAGAAGGTCCTGGGTTCGGACTGCAGTGGGTGTGTACCACTGTGGAAGAGTCCCAAACTAGACTGACGAAACAACTGTCCAGTACTCCCGCCAGGTTTTCCAATGGTTCTTTAACTGATGTCAGATTATGAATGATTCCTCCAACTAATCAAACAGAATCCCTACAAAACCAATACTTGGAAAATGACAGCATTAATGTTATCTAAATAACATCGAATCAATCAATAAAACGGATAGATTACAGTTCAGTAGCATTTGCAAGTGTGATAATAATATTTATCAACATAACATTACACACTGAATATCAGACAAATTATGCAAAGTAATAATAATACATAACTGATGAATTTACAGGCTTCACAGAAGGCCAGGGTAGTAATAGTCGTTAGCTGAACCTGTTCCTTTTGCACACACAGAGCACAGGTTGTTTTAGGCGAAACACAATAACCTATTCTGTTTGGCATATTCAGTACCTGGATGCCTTGGAAAATTTATTTGGTTCCCGATAGATGATAAAGAGAAGGATTCTTCAATGCTAACTTTGTCGCCAGTTTGAACCCGGTGGTCTAATATACTGAACTGTTGATGATTGTTTTCGATACACCTTCATTCAGCGAGCAGGAAAAATAAAGTTCCTCCTAGTGTGCAGTAGCTAATATAACTCACTCTCAACGTGCAGTTGAACTGGTCGATACAAAGACTAACTGTAATCCTTAGCGATCAAATCTTATTTCTGAAAAAGTGACACTAGCTGAGAGACATCAATAAGAAATTTTGTTATTATGTATTTTCAGTTCATTGCACACCTTTGACTTTCTTATTTTTGTAGCTCGAATAGGGAAGTTAAGACTTTCTAGTATCACTTAACCTCTACTTTCACAGTAATGTTAACGCTTGTATTCCGTCACTTCTTCGCGATTGCTCCAAGACAAGAATACTGTGGATCAATAAGAAGAATCCAGAAGATCTGGATTTCGCACCTCCATGATTTATGTTCAATGTCACATAAGCTCAAAGACTTACAGGTGAAAACCAACAACAAAACGGGTAGAAGAGGTAGGCAGTGAAGACACGACTCCAATGTGAACATAGAGAAGACGGAGGTGATGAAGATAACCAATCACCACTAACGGGGGAAATTTAGAACAGGTCACTCCCAACACTTATCTCCCCCAGGCGACAGCGCAGATGATGATGATATCAAAGAGGATCAGAATCGGAAAGGCAAGATACACCTTCATCAATCTGAGATAAGTTTGAAGACGTTCTTCACTCCACCTCAGCATGAACAGTGAGGTTCGGATTTTCAACACCAATGTTTCTATGTCAGTCACTCAATCAGTGAGTGATTTCTTCTATGTGAGTCAGAGAACTGGCCATCACGTTATGAAAAGCATTTCCGGTAGGCTACTGTGAACTTTTATCAACAGTTGCCGCATTCACTGACTCCATATTGAAGATCGAATGGACAGCCGGTGTGAAAAATATAAGCAACAAGAATCTTTGGGAAAAAAACTAGCCAAGAATGTACTGCTCAATAAATATTGTGGAGAAAATGTAGTTAGATTGGGCAGATAGATATGGTGAGGAGACCACTATAGGACGACATCACTTGCCAAGTCATCGCTCGACTGGAGATTGAATTGAAGGTCCACTAAAGCCAAGCATTGACAATTTGCGAATATATAAAAGATAAGTAAACGACATATTCATTATTTGTGACAACAACAATGACCCCAATCTACTGCTGAGGATATTTAACTGTTGCCATCCAGCAATAAAATTCACTCTTGAAATGGAAAACGAGTCAAATATTCCGTTTCTTGATGTGGAACTAACAAGGAGAACTGATGGGAGCCTAAGAAGATCGATCCATAGAAAATCTACTTGGAATGGTCAACTAACAAGCTTCTATAGCTGGGTACCCATTCAACAAAAGCGAAATTTAATTAAATCACTTGCCGCCCGCATCCGACGCATCTGCAGTGCCGATGCTCTGGAAACAGAATTAGATATTCTAAGAGAATTTTCATCCAAAATGGATACCCAGTGAGATTCATCGACAAAAAAAAATATCAAACCAAGAATTCGGAGAAGCGAAACTCTACTTGCGCCAAAAAAGAAACTCTACATAAACCTGGATTTCAAGGGAGATTCAGCAGGCGACATTCTAAAGAGAAGGATCACATCATCTCTGAGAAGAACATTCTTTGCAGCAACGCTAAGAATAGTGTTCTCCAGTCGCCCACTGATCTGCAGAAGCCTCAAGGACAAGATCCTGCATCTGACCACTTCTATGTGCATATATCAGTTCACCTGCTGCTGTGGAGCCAGGTACATAGGTCGTTCGACGCGCGCCCTGTTCAAGAGGATTCAATAACACTTTCCCGCATGGTTGCGAAAAGGCAATAGTGGTGCAATAAGGAGTGCGATAATTGAACACCTGGTTAACACTGATCATTCCATTTCAACAAACGCCACCTTCAAAGTAATCTACAGAGTCAAGAACAACCTATCAAAGGCAATACGGTTTCGCCTTCTTTGTATCACTGAAGCTCTGGCCATTCACATAGAAAAACCAGAGCTGTGCATACAAAAGAGGATTACTCAACCACTTCTACTGTCTTGGTAACAACTTTTTTGATTTGATCTGATTTTTGATTTTGATGACTTAATTTTGTTTCTTTGCCTGTTCTTTAATTGCTTATAATTCTTGTATTCATTTAGAACTCTTACGTAATTTCGTATTATCAAGTTTGTTCCTATGTGCATCCTGAGTAAAACTCACTCATCAAACTATTCATATTACTACGTGACTGCTTTTTAACAACTGGTTGTGACAACTCATCACCTTTGTTACTACCCTAATTTCACTAACACCTAATTTTCTTGATTGATTTCATATTACGTAACTCCAATTACCAATCTTCACCTGTTTAGTTTAAATAACTATAACCAATTGTATTTTTGTTTGATAAACTTATTGTACACATACATACAAAATAACCGTCATATATATTTGCGATTGTACAGCTAAGAAAATGAATTCGCCGAAAAGAGACTCTTCGCTGATCTAAATGTTTTGTTTTCATGAAATGAAAACGACGAGTTGGGCGTTAGTCTGAGGATGACACATGGAGCAGATAAGAGCGTGAGCCAAACTGATGTAAAGGACCGCAGAAAATAGGACAAATTGGAGACAATGACGTTGAAGACGCTCATTCCACTCGGAACTCAAGGGATCGATAATAATAATAATAATAATTAAGGAATGCTTCATTTTATTTATTAATTAATCTTACAATATATAGTAAATTAAAAGAATTTCAATAAATCAGAAATCAAAAGTTATGCAAGGATAAAGAAGTGAAAAGAAAAAACAACCTCAGGGATATCGGAATACTTAAATTTCAACATTTTTCTTGACTTCAATTTCAAACAAAGTGAATTTGTCATTTCTCATTGTATCTCTCATTATAATCCCCCCTGTAGTCAATACAGGTGGAATTAGCATGAATTGTATTCACCATCAGTTTACATGAGTCATAATATTCACCATCTGGACGAGAATTACAATAAGAATAACAATGATAAGAGTATGGATCCATCTGTAGACCGTCTTTATTATTATTATTACTATTATTATTATTATTATTATTATTATTAACGTAATTGGATGAAGTGAAATTTCTTTCTTCATCATTGAATCTTGATACTTTTGTTTTATTAAACCAATTTTCAAGGTGATTTACTCCAATTGGTTGATTATCTTTTTTATTTTCAGTAGTATAGTAATTAACAGGTAAATCAGTTAAGGTTGAATTGTTGTATTCATCCATTTCCACTTGATGATGATGATGATGATGGTGATTATGCTGATGAATTGATAATGAGCTGATATTTTGAGAATAATAACAATAACAACCATAGTAATAATAATAATAATTTTGATTTTTTATTAAATCTCTACACTTCGATGAACACATTTGTATAGATGGAGGAATAGTTTGTTGACAATCAATATAATCAATCAAGCGTTCTTCATTGGTGGTTAATTTACCTTCTAATACATTTGACCTCATTAATCCTGTTGGTAATTTTTCAGTTTGATGAACACCACCCTCAGTCATTGGACTGTCTATCCACCAATAATTGGTAGTGGTTGCTGTTGTTGTTGGTGGTGGTGTTGTTGAGGTTGTTGATTTCGACAGGGATTCAGACATCTTTGACAATGATGAAGATGAAGAGGAGGCTAACGAAGACAGTAAGATATCGCCTTCAATCGTCGATGATGTCCTCTTCTCCTTCTCCATTGTCTCCACCTGCGCCTCGACCTCCGCCTTCGCCTCCTTCCCCTCTCCGTCCCGTTTGTCAAATGTATAATGCTTTAATAATCGTGAGGGATCACTATGAAGAGCAGCTGCAATCTGATTAGTTGTAATCTGTGATAAACCATGACATAAGTATTTGATAATATCTGTTATCGAATCAAATTGTATATTATTCAATATGGAAGCTAATAGACCAATATAATTACAAGCTAGTCGAAGTGTTTCAATTTTACTCAATTTTTGACCAAATTGATGTAAATTAGACATATTTCTATTGTTATTATTATTATTGTTTATTGTAGTACTGGTAGAACTCACCTGATCGGTTACAGTCGTCGACTGTTGATTTTTCCGATCACTGTTAATCGCATTATGATTGATCTGCATTCTGGCATATGGTGAATTACGATCCAAAGAAATATCTCCATTCACTAAAGCTGACGGTAGTATATGCTGTCTTAAAGTATCCAAAGCAGAATTCAACCCATGCATTCGACTACGTTCACGTGCATTCGCTCGAGCTCGTCTCATTTTCATTCGTACTAGACGTTCTTGTGAATCAGGTTTTTTCTTCTTTTTAGGACCACGACGTCTTATACCTGTTGAAAGGACTATTGATGATGATGATGTTGTTGATAATGAAGGTGGTTCAATAATGTTGAAATCATCAACGGCTACTTCAGGTGTACTATAGTTTTGATTCTTTTTTGTTGATGTGATCACAGTAGAACAATGAGGGCTTTTAATTGATGTTGAAAAAGTTAAAAGATTATCTTTTTGTTTTAATTTCTCAGGCAATAAATTTACAATGTTCGAATTATACTGATCTTCGTTTATTTTATGATTATATGGATAGTTTGGTAGTAATCTGATGACATCGTCTGTATCCTTGAATACTGACGGAAGGAAGGAATTCTCTGGTTGATCAGTAAATGCATCTGACTGATTAAAACTGGACCAGTTCATTGGATTCATTGTCCTGCATTAGTTATCTTAGTGAAAGGAAACAAAATAAATGAGAAGACAACATATCAACTCTATAGCAGTAAATTCCCACTCACCGACGGAGTTTAAATCTAGGACCTTCCGGTTACAAGGTGGTGAGCTCTTGGTCTATTAAGCAGCTAACGAGACCCTAGCCAATCACCAGTTCACGAATTCCAGCTTCTGGAAATTCACGATACAGCTAATGTTATCGACGAGTAGTTGTCCTCCCACCCGACCCGCTGTACTTTACCCCATTAGTCACAAAGTCCTACCAGAAGGATCCAGTTGACTACCTACCTGAATAGGGCCAGCAACTAGTGAGCATCAAATTCATATTCAATAGTTGTTTTGCAGGGATTTGATTGTAAATTAACAGTTTCAGTCTATTATAGGCATTACAACAAGACATATAAACGAATACTACTGGGTTTTTTCAGTTATATCTCCAAGCTTCACTCTAATTTACATAGCGTTATATATAAAAACGTTTGACCAATGATGGTGTTTGTGGATCAGAGTAATAATAATAAGTCAACTTTGTTAAATATGTCTCGTTTCCAATTACTTCTCTAGCTGACTGCCCCAAGCTGAATAGCTTTCCGTTCGGCATTAGTCAATGGTCTAAGCTTAATAGTTTTACGTTAAACCTCTCTACTATATGTTAGACAAATAACTTCATCTTTAAGGATAAACATAATCTATACGAACAGGTTCATTCACAAGATAGAAATTAAGTCAAGCATTAAATATCATTGGGATAGTTCTATCAACTGACCTTTCTTGGTCACCCCATATCCTGTCTATTTCTAAGAAAATGTTCCGACTAGCCTACTACATTAAGAAGTTAAGACAATGGAGAATCACTCAACCTCTGTTTTTTTAACAGTTTGTTAACTCTTCTATCTTACCAAATGTATTTTAAGGATCTACCCAACTTGGTCTTTCCTGAGCTACTGCAAAAGGACTATGCCATTACTGCGAAGAAGGCAACAAGTTGGCAGAAGAAGTATCAAAGATAGGACTTCAGGTGAACATAGAGAAGACATATGTGATGAAGATTCCTGGGCCACACCACCAACAGCAACAACAACAACAGACAACAATCAGCATAAATGGGAGGAACCTGAAAGAAACAACCTCTTTTACCCACCTACCTGGGAAGCATCGTTTCAACTACAGGCGGACGGAACTGAGTAGGATGTCAAAGCAAGAATCGGAAAAACAAGACAAGCTTTCACTACTCTCAAGTCTGTGTGGAGGTCAACAGCACTCAGCATCAAAAGTAAGATCCGGATTTTCAACTCCAATGTGAAGTCAGTGCTACTATATGGATCAGAGACTTGCACTGCGCGTCATAAAGAGCATCTCAAACAAACCAGAGACCTTCATTAACAGTTGTCTTCGCTCAATACTCAAGATCAGATGGCTGGCCAGAAAATATCAGCAACAGGGATCTCTGGAAGCGAACCAACACAGCAGGAACCGATTGTGAAACAAATATGCAGGAGGAAATGGAGATATATTGGCTGGTCATACTCTGAGGAAACCATCAAGTGACATCACTAGACAAGCCACTGCTCGAGTGGAACCCGAAAGGGAAGCGGCGAGTTGGTCGTCCAAGGGTGACTTGGAGGAGGTCATGTGAGGAGGAGATGAAAACGTGTGGGCGGAAATGGAGCCAGGTGAAGACTCTAGCAGGAAACCGAACTCAATGGAGACGCACGGCTGAAGGCCTATGTTCCTCTAGGAATTAAAGGATACAATAATAATAATAGTAAGAGGGTAAGTTGTGTGCCACCAAGTCAGTCAGCTCTTTACTGTCATAGTCGACAAACACCTCAATTCATATGAAAAACGGTCCAAATCCATATTGTCTGACTCACACCACCCTCTTTTGTTCACAACTCTCCCTCGCCTTGAATCTTATCTGGTAAGAGGACTAGAGGTCATTGTAATGGATTATCTACTAGCACTACCGAGTATAAAAAATGTCAACGATACCCTTTTTGGCTCCCCTGCCCTTATTATTGTTAAAAGTGATAGTGTTAAACGTGAAACTTACAACTTACTGTGTGATTAGCATAAAAAGTGGCTCAGTTATTCTTCTGTATGTGTGACGTAATGTGGTGACGTAACACTATCCCCATTATCCTATAATTCTGTGTTATTGGTACTTATATTACTGTTCTTTTCATTTTACAATTGTACATCATTTTGACCCTACTGCTTCTGCTAATGTCGAAGGTTGATGTTGTTATTAATTCCAGTTAAATGTAGCCTGTAATGTGTTTTGTTGCTGCTGTCCAGTAAGTTAGATGCAACAGTATCGTACAAAATGCTGAGAATTCCACATTGTATCATAAGTAGTGGTGTTTTGGAATGAAGCAGAACTATTATTAAGTGTTAAATGTTTGGAACGTCAGTAATAGTGATGATTAGTATTAGATGGTTGGAGGCAATCGGCAGGAAGCCTTGCTTGACCTAGGTTTCCTGCTAGTTGGCACTCATCAGCAAGGCGTATCTGCAACCTTGAAGGAACTCATGTCCCTTCTGAGATTCGAACCCGCGTCACCCAGTGCTGCAGTCAGAGATGTTACCACTGAGCTATTCAGGCTCGCGACTGACCTCCTGTAGGACTGTATTGGATATTTTTGATTGCACACTAGTCAGTAACTAGTGCAATGCGTCTAATACCAACAATTCACAGTGCACCGTAATGGCGAGCCACCTAGCATGGTGACCACATTGCAAACATGACTGATAGAATTCAGTCTGCACCGAAGATAGGACTAGACGCATTACACTAGTTACTGACTAGTGTGCAATCAAAAATATAGTGATGATTATTATGATAACACAAAATAATGATAATAAGGTCTGTGCATGTGGGGTGATAAGAATAATGAAGGTAGTGAGTGATATGTGTATATGTAGACAATTCAATAAATAAATTAAATTAGGTCAAATCTTAAAAGTTACGCAATACTAAGGGTGAAGTGGACAGATAACCAGAGTTCAAATAATAAATATCATAAAAATACGAAGGAGATGGAAAATAAGAAAGGGTGGGAGGATTTTGAATAGAATTCACCTAGGCAAGCAAGGGAGAGACAAAGGTAGAACAAACTTCTTTTGTATGCCAAGACTAGGATCGTTCTCTCGAATTCTCATAGCTTCGGATATGTGTAAAAGGCGGGTTCGAATCCCGTTTGAAAAGCTCGATGGAATGCGATCGATAACTTTGAAGGCACTCCTTCTTCAAGTAATAGTTTTGTAGGGATTTTTGTTTGATTGGTTGAAGGATTTCATTATGAAGTGATATCAGTTAGAGAACCTGTGGAAAACCTGGGAGTACTGGACTGCTGTTTCGTCAGTCTAGTTTGGGTATCTTCACAGTACGCACCCACCAGGGTTTGAACCCAGGAGCTTCTGGTTACAAGGCTAGCTCGTAGACCATCAAGCGACTGGAGGAGTGCCAAACTAGGACGAAACAGCTGTCCAATTCTCCCACATTTTCCAATGGTTCTGTAACTGATGTCAGCTGATGATGAAATCCTCTAACCAATGAAACTTCTTCTTCTGTTCACTTAGTGACCGCCACCATCAATCAAATGAGTTGAAATTCAACTTCTTATAGACTTTATTTGGCCTTTTCCGAACCATGAAGGAAGATGCTCATTAATATATTTGTTGAGTTGCCTAGTTGTTCGCCCTATATATCCGGCTTTCTCCTCCTAAATTTGTAGATAAACATAGAAGTGGCACAGCTAAGTTGCTTGTCTTTTGCTTGAGCAATCAAAATTGGTTACCTGGAAAATGACGAACAAAAGGTGACGGCAGTATAAGTCCATTTTATTGCTCTCTATAATCTTAGATGTAGGACTTCACTAGCCACTTCCCTATTGAAATGCGGTTTCAGGAAAAATTGTTTCTTTTTAAACGTTGTCTCTTTCTCTTTATTATGCATGGTGTTTATGTGGTGACCCCTAACAAAGCTATATAAATTAGAGTAAAGCCTGAAGAACATTTAATTGAAAACACAGTGGTTAGGACTCTCGCCAACCATGCATATGGTCCGGGGTTCGATCCTCTGCCGACGCACACCCGATATCTATGGTCGGCCTGCAAAATTTGGGCTACCGATATCCATGCTGAAAATGCCATACTTGTACTGCAAATACAGTGTGGCATCAAGCTGTAATCAAAATAAAAATAAATAAATATTCGCTTATATATCTTAATGGGATACTAACAATGGGGACATTTAAAGATTTAATATCATTGGCATATTCAATGAGAATTAGCATGAATCCAACAAATTTTAAGCAGATATTTACATTTCCAAAGTTGTACACTTTGTGATTTTACGTAGTTAATAAGGAAATTGTGACTTGTAAATTGATCAAGTTTTGCAAGGAACCCATTAGCCTAAGTTGAGACTGGTCATCACTTCAGCCTTCGTCTGGGTCTATCAACGGGGAATCACAAAAACATGAAAACTTTAAACCATACCATTTGCTTTTGTGGCTCAGCATCTTATTGGCGTTCTAAACGAAGAGTAGTGGGCTCAACTCTTACTGAAGATACCACAAATTGCTGGGGAGCAGTGTCAGGGTTGGAGCATTTTGCAAATTTCGCAAAACTTCATTAACTCACATACTGTAGAATACCATTCTACTTGAAGATTCTGTATGAGTAACAGATGAAATCAAGCTGAAAATTGTCTAGCGTACAGAAACACGAGGTTCCGAATAAAGTTATTGTTATTATTAATAAGAGTGTATACAGATGACGAGCCCCGGATAGGAAGAATCTTCAGTCTTCGACTCTATTAACAGCCATTGACAAACAAGTTTTTTTATTCCTTTACCTTCCCAGTGGAACATAGGGTTTCAGGCGAGAGGCTTGAAGTTTCTGTAGCAATGGTGTTTATTTCTACAAGATGGGGTTGCTAGCCTCATGCCCAACCTTCCCTCTTTACCAGTCTT